GCACCCCTGAACCCTGCACTTTGCACACAGCACACCCCTGAAGTCTGTACTCTGTACACAGCACACCCATGAACTCTGCACACAGCCCACCCCTGAACTCTACACACAGCACACACCCGTGAACTCTGCACACAGCACACCCGTGAACTCTGCACACAGCACACCCCTGAACTCTGCACACAGCACACCCCTGAACTCTGCATTCTGTACACAGCACACCCCTGAACTCTGCACACAGCACACCCCTGAACTCTGCATTCTGCACACAGCCCACCCCTGAACTCTGCATTCTGCACACAGCCCACCCCTGAACTACGTAGCGTACCCCAAATACAACCAGCCAGCCCCTGAACCCTACACTGTGCACACAGCACACCCCTGAACTCTGCACACAGCACACCCCTGAACTCTGCATTCTGCACACAGCACACCCCTGAACTCTGAACTCTGCACACAGCACACCCCTGAACTCTGCACACAGCACACCCCTGAACTCTGCATTCTGCACACAGCCCACCCCTGAACTCTGCATTCTGCACACAGCCCACCCCTGAACTACGTAGCGTACCCCAAATACAACCAGCCTTTTACTACTGATGCAGCACATGATAGAATTGCGTTTTACACCCCTGCCCTGGACTAATCACGTAATAATATACTGGAAGTGGGGCAACCCAATTTACTTGTTTGCAAACTGACCAGGGTTCAACTTTACGCCAGGCTTGACAGCAAGATATGGCCAAATGCTCCTTTTAAATTTTGATCTTTTGCAATTATCTCAAAAACAGCCTCCTGTTTTAGGCAAAGAAAATCTATCCTCATTGCTGAGAAAGCCTCGCTGTGTTACCAGGCTTTGTGTGATAGTGCAGTTTGGTTCCTCAGGGAAGGCGGTGGTCATCTTAAAAGCTCCTGGTTTTTTTTTTTGTGCCTTTAAATCCCAGTAATCGACAATTATCCCAGCGCTGTGCCCCAGCTACATTCCAGTCACATTATCCTTTAATTAGAAATTCATACAATTGATTCAAATCCAATAATGGGTTTTAAAAGGCTTACTACTGCGTTACTGGGTGGCTGGAGAGGTGTTGATGGAGCAGGAGATTAGCTTTTTCCTGCTGAGAGTCTCACTACCCTGAAACAGACCCGAGACTACACAACCACTCATTCTGACAAGAGAGCGGCCATGTTGATCGCGGTACATTTCCTTCACTGGGCTTAGGTTGGAATCCTTCACATGTAAATTTTAGCAAAATAATGGAATTTAAGAAGTAATAATTAGTCCTACATCTGAAGCTTTCTCCCAGTTGTGCTCCTGCGTTATCAACTGGCCAAATGCTTTCCTGCTGGAGGCATTCCACCATGGCGACATACGTTGCGCAGATATGATCTGCCATTGTCACTAAAAATCTGTGATATATATATATATATATATATATATATATATATATATATACACACACACACACACACACCAGTACATACAGTATACAGTGGAAAAAAAATGTATTTTAAAAATATTCTTCCCAAATATATTGACATATATTTGAAATACTACAATTTTGGCCATATTAAAAAAATAAATAAAGACATTTTCTATGGCCAAAATTGTAGTATTTCAAATATATGTCAATATATTTGGGAAGAATATTTTTAAAATACATTTTTCTTCCACTGTATACTGTATATACCGGTATGTATGTATGTGTGTTTATATATATATATATATATATATATATATATATATATATATATATCACAGATTTTTAGTGACAATGGCAGATCATATCTGTGCAATGTATGTCGCCGTGGTGGTATGCCTCCAGCAGGAAAGCAGTATATATATACTGTATGTTGAAATGTGATTTTTATATATTTCAAATATACTGTATGTCTTTAAAAATACATTTACTCCATATTTTTGGAATACATTTACAAATATATGTAAAAATATATGTTAAAATGACTTTTTTATGTTAAAAAAAATCTGAAGAATATATTTTAAATTAATATATTTTATTAAAAATACTTTTCATATATTTTGGAATATATAAAAACCGCATTTCAACATACAGTGTATATATATATCTATATAGATATATCTATATCTATAGATATATCTATCACAGTGGCTAAGTGGTTAGCAGTTCTGCCTGGCAGTACTAGGGTTGCCAGTTCAAATCCCAACCATGGCACCACCTGCCTGGAGTTTGCATGTTCTTCCTGTGTGGGTTTCCTCTGGGTACTCCAGTTTCCTCCCACACTCCAAAGACATGCTGATAGGTTAATTGGCTCCTGTCTAAATTGGCCCTAGTATATATAAGTTAGAGACCTTAGATTGTACGCCCCTTGAGGGCAGGGACTGATGTGAATGTACAATATATATGTAAAGTGCTGCATAAATTGATGGCGATATATAAGTACCTGAAATAAATAAATATATTGAATACGGCCAAAATTGTAGTATTTCAAATATATGTCAATATATTTGTGAAGAAGAATATTTTATTATTTATTTCAGGTACTTATATAGCACTGTCAATTTACACAGTTATTTACATACATATTGTACATTCACATCAGTCCCTAACTCTCAAGGGGCGTACAATCTAAGGTCCCTAACCCTCAAGGGGAGTACAATCTAAGGTCCCTGACCCTCAAGGGGCGTACAATCTAAGGTCCCTAACCCTCAAGGGGCGTACAATCTAAGGTTCCTGACCCTCAAGGGGCGTACAATCTAAGGTCCCTGACCCTCAAGGGGCGTACAATCTAAGGTCCCTGACCCTCAAGGGGCGTACAATCCAAGGTCCCTAACCCTCAAGGGGCGTACAATCTAAGGTCCCTAACCCTCAAGGGGCGTACAATCTAAGGTCCCTAACCCTCAAGGGGCGTACAATCTAAGGTCCCTAACCCTCAAGGGGCGTACAATCTAAGGTCCCTAACCCTCAAGGGGCGTACAATCTAAGGTCCCTAACCCTCAAGTGGTGTACAATCTAAGGTCCCTAACCCTCAAGGGGCGTATAATCTAAGGTCCCTAACCCTCAAGGGGGGTACAATCTAAGGTCCTTAACTCACATTCATACATACACATACTAGGGACAATTTAGACAGGAGCCAATGAACCTACCAGCATGTCTTTGGAGTGTGGAAGGAAACCGGAGTACCCAGAGGAAGCCCACAGAGGCACAGGGAGAACATGTAAACTCCAGGCAGGAGGTGCCATGGCTGGGATTAGAACCAACAACCCAAGTACTGCCAGGCAGAAGTGCTAACCATTTAGCCACTGTGCTGCCCATATATCTATATCTATCTCTATATATATCTATATATCTATATATATAGATATATATATCTATATATATATATATATATATATATAAATATATATGTGTGTGTGTGTGTATTTATTTATTTTTTTAAATATATTGAATACGGCCAAAATTGTAGTATTTAAAATATATGTTTCTTCTGGGCTCTTACTTCATTCTACATAATATAATCTATGTTTTTTTCCCCTTTTGCTAATTTATGCCTTGAACTACATTCCCACCTGCGTTAAAACGTAACAAAATCTGCAAAAATATACAGAGTTATATATACCGCTATCATTTTCATGATTTCCTAAACATATGTAATTTCTCATCATTTTCTGTTGTTTTTACATCTAATTACAAGGGACTGTTTGTCAAAGTAACATGCGTGTGCTCATTTCCATCCTATGCACACAAAAAAAATAAAATAAAGAGGCGGCCATAAATCCTTGATGCAGATGGCGTTGTGTTTAGGCCTCAAAGCTTCTAAAGAGAAAGAAAAAAAAAATTAAAGGATCGTTTCTCTCGGTTGTAAACACTTAAAAAGACAACGCACTTGAATATTTTAAAGCCGTGCGAGTCTTTGTTAACAAATTCCTAGAGAGTGCGCAGACAGGATCCGTGTGCTGCATCCATCCTGGCATTGATCTGCTCGCTTCCAAGTCTTTTTTTTTTTTCCATGAAGACGGAGCGGGGGGGGGGGGGGGGGAGTGATATTTCCAGATTAGAAATAAAAGAGAAACACATCCTGAGGGTGTGAGATGAAGCAGATAAGAAGGGGTGGGTTGTACAAAAAGAGGAACGCCAAGAAGGAAAGCGTGTTCCTTTTTAAAGTCAATGATGCCTGGCGCTTGTTGTTTGCTACTGCCGAATCACAGGCACACTTAAAAGAACACGGCCGGCTCAAAGACTTTTTTAAAATCCATACAAGTGTTTGCTCTTGTCTCTTTATAAGCTTGCCTTGAATAATGTTTTTATCTTCGTGCTCCTTGAAACTCGACTTTAATCTTTCGAAATAAAAATAGAAGCTCTTTTCAGCAATACTCACCTCCTCTCCGGTACCGTCCCTGATCCCAGCCACGTCCTGCCTTCCGTGGTTAATGATGCTCAGCTTTTATGATCCTTGACTGTCATGTATGCTGCGCTCCTTGGGGGCACGTCATCACGTCAGCCAAGATCCATTCACACCTGTGCAATTTATTGCGCCTTGGCTTTCGCATTGGCAATGTGTGACAGGAGAAATCCCATTATTGTCTATGGGAGGGTTCCTCCAGAAGTCGCTAGGGGCTGCTTGAGCAATGAGCAATTTCTGTCTCTCAGATAAGTTCTCACTGACACCATTGATCTCTTTAGCTATCTGTAAGAGGGAAATCCTTCCCACTGATCACCAATGTAAGGAGCATTCTTCCCACTGACCACCAATGTAAGGGACATTCTTCCCACTGACCACCAATGTAAGGGACATTCTTCCCACTGACCCCCAATGTAAGGGACATTCTTCCCACTGACCACCAATGTAAGGAGCATTCTTCCCACTGACCACCAATGTAAGGGACATTTTTCCCACTGACCTCCAATGTAAGGGACATTCTTCCCACTGATCACCAATGTAAGGGACATTCTTCCCACTGACCTCCAATGTAAGGGACATTCTTCCCACTGACCCCCAATGTAAGGGACATTTCTCCCACTGACCACCAATGTAAGGGGCATTCTTCCCACTGACCACCAATGTAAGGAGCATTCTTCCCACTGATCACCAATGTAAGGGACATTCTTCCCACTGACCTCCAATGTAAGGGACATTCTTTCCACTGACCCCCAATGTAAGGGACATTCTTCCCACTGACTTCCAATGTAAGGGGCATTCTTCCCACTGACCACCAATGTAAGGGACATTCTTCCCACTGATCACCAATGTAAGGGACATTCTTCCCACTGACCACCAATGTAAGGGACATTCTTCCCACTGACTTCCAATGTAAGGGGCATTCTTCCCACTGACCACCAATGTAAGGGACATTCTTCCCACTGATCACCAATGTAAGGGACATTCTTCCCACTGACCCCCAATGTAAGGGACATTCTTCCCACTGACCCCCAATGTAAGGGACATTCTTCCCACTGACCTCCAATGTAAGGGACATTCTTCCCACTGACCCCCAATGTAAGGGACATTTCTCCCACTGACCACCAATGTAAGGGGCATTCTTCCCACTGACCCCCAATGTAAGGGACATTCTTCCCACTGACCCCCAATGTAAGGAGCATTCTAAACACTGATCACCAATGTAAGGGACATTCTTCCCACTGACCTCCAATGTAAGGGACATTCTTCCCACTGACCCCCAATGTAAGGGACATTCTTCCCACTGACCTCCAATGTAAGGGACATTCTTCCCACTGACCACCAATGTAAGGGACATTCTTCCCACTGATCACCAATGTAAGGGACATTCTTCCCACTGACCACCAATGTAAGGGACATTCTTCCCACTGACCACCAATGTAAGGATCATTCTTCCCACTGACCCCCAATGTAAGGGACATTCTTCCCACTGACCACCAATGTAAGGGACATTCTTCCCACTGACCCCCAATGTAAGGGACATTCTTCCCACTGACCACCAATGTAAGGGACATTCTTCCCACTGATCACCAATGTAAGGAGCATTCTTCCCACTGACCACCAATGTAAGGGGCATTCTTCCCAATGATCACCAATGTAAGGGACATTCTTCCCACTGACCCCCAATGTAAGGAGCATTCTTCCCACTGATCACCAATGTAAGGGACATTCTTCCCACCGACTCCCAATGTAAGGGACATTCTTCCCACTGACCACCAATGTAAGGGACATTCTTCCCACTGACCACCAATGTAAGGATCATTCTTCCCACTGAACCCCAATGTAAGGGACATTCTTCCCACTGACCACCAATGTAAGGGACATTCTTCCCACTGATCACCAATGTAAGGAGCATTCTTCCCACTGACCACCAATGTAAGGGGCATTCTTCCCAATGATCACCACCAATGTAAGGGACATTCTTCCCACTGACCCCCAATGTAAGGAGCATTCTTCCCACTGATCACCAATGTAAGGGACATTCTTCCCACCGACTCCCAATGTAAGGGACATTCTTCCCACTGACCACCAATGTAAGGATCATTCTTCCCACTGAACCCCAATGTAAGGGACATTCTTCCCACTGACCACCAATGTAAGGGACATTCTTCCCACTGATCACCAATGTAAGGGACATTCTTCCCACTGATCACAAATGTAAGGGACATTCTTCCCACTGACCATCAATGTAAGGGACATTCTTCCCACTGATCACCAATGTAAGGAGCATTCCTCCCACTGACCCCCAATGTAAGGGACATTCTTCCCACTGACCCCCAATGTAAGGGACATTCTTCCCACTGACCACCAATGTAGGGACATTCTTCCCACTGACCCCCAATGTAAGGGACATTCTTCCCACTGACCACCAATGTAAGGGACATTCTTCCCATGATCACCAATGTAAGGAGCATTCTTCCCACTGACCACCAATGTAAGGGGCATTCTTCCCAATGATCACCAATGTAAGGGACATTCTTCCCACTGACCCCCAATGTAAGGAGCATTCTTCCCACTGATCACCAATGTAAGGGACATTCTTCCCACCGACTCCCAATGTAAGGGACATTCTTCCCACTGACCACCAATGTAAGGGACATTCTTCCCACTGACCACCAATGTAAGGATCATTCTTCCCACTGAACCCCAATGTAAGGGACATTCTTCCCACTGACCACCAATGTAAGGGACATTCTTCCCACTGATCACCAATGTAAGGAGCATTCTTCCCACTGACCACCAATGTAAGGGGCATTCTTCCCAATGATCACCAATGTAAGGGACATTCTTCCCACTGACCCCCAATGTAAGGAGCATTCTTCCCACTGATCACCAATGTAAGGGACATTCTTTCCACCGACTCCCAATGTAAGGGACATTCTTCCCACTGACCACCAATGTAAGGATCATTCTTCCCACTGAACCCCAATGTAGGGACATTCTTCCCACTGACCACCAATGTAAGGGACATTCTTCCCACTGATCACCAATGTAAGGGACATTCTTCCACTGATCACAAATGTAAGGGACATTCTTCCCACTGACCATCAATGTAAGGGACATTCTTCCCACTGATCACCAATGTAAGGAGCATTCCTCCCACTGACCCCCAATGTAAGGGACATTCTTCCCACTGACCCCCAATGTAAGGAGCATTCTTCCCACTGATCACCAATGTAAGGGACATTCTTCCCACTGACCTCCAATGTAAGGGACATTCTTTCCACTGACCCCCAATGTAAGGGACATTCTTCCCACTGACCTCCAATGTAAGGGGCATTCTTCCCACTGACCACCAATGTAAGGGACATTCTTCCCACTGATCACCAATGTAAGGAACATTCTTCCCACTGACCCCAATGTAAGGAACATTCTTCCCACTGATCACCAATGTAAGGGACATTCTTCCCACTGATCACCAATGTAAGGGACATTCTTCCCACTGACCCCCAATGTAAGGGACATTCTTCCCACTGACCCCCCATGTAAGGGGCATTCTTCCCACTGACCCCCAATGTAAGGGACATTCTTCCCACTGACCTCCAATGTAAGGGACATTCTTCCCACTGACCCCCAATGTAAGGGACATTTCTCCCACTGACCACCAATGTAAGGGGCATTCTTCCCACTGACCCCCAATGTAAGGGACATTCTTCCCACTGACCCCCAATGTAAGGAGCATTCTTCCCACTGATCATCAATGTAAGGGACATTCTTCCCACTGACCTCCAATGTAAGGGACATTCTTCCCACTGACCCCCAATGTAAGGGACATTCTTCCCACTGACCTCCAATGTAAGGGACATTCTTCCCACTGACCACCAATGTAAGGGACATTCTTCCCACTGACCCCCAATGTAAGGGACATTCTTCCCACTGACCACCAATGTAAGGGACATTCTTCCCACTGATCACCAATGTAAGGAGCATTCTTCCCACTGACCACCAATGTAAGGGGCATTCTTCCCAATGATCACCAATGTAAGGGACATTCTTCCCAATGATCACCAATGTAAGGACATTCTTCCCACTGACCCCCAATGTAAGGAGCATTCTTCCCACTGATCACCAGTGTAAGGGACATTCTTCCCACCGACTCCCAATGTAAGGGACATTCTTCCCACTGACCACCAATGTAAGGGACATTCTTCCCACTGACCACCAATGTAAGGATCATTCTTCCCACTGAACCCCAATGTAAGGGACATTCTTCCCACTGACCACCAATGTAAGGGACATTCTTCCCACTGATCACCAATGTAAGGGACATTCTTCCCACTGATCACAAATGTAAGGGACATTCTTCCCACTGACCACCAATGTAAGGGACATTCTTCCCACTGATCACCAATGTAAGGGACATTCTTCCCACTGATCACCAATGTAAGGGACATTCTTCCCACTGATCACCAATGTAAGGAGCATTCCTCCCACTGACCCCCAATGTAAGGGACATTCTTCCCACTGACCCCCAATGTAAGGGACATTCTTCCCACTGATCCCCAATGTAAGGGACATTCTTCCCACTGATCACCAATGTAAGGGACATTCTTCCCACTGATCACCAATGTAAGGGGCATTCTTCCACTGACCACCAATGTAAGGGACATTCTTCCCACTGATCACCAATGTAAGGGGCATTCTTCCCACTGACCACCAATGTAAGGGACATTCTTCCCACTGACCCCCAATGTAAGGGACATTCTTCCCACTGATCACCAATGTAAGGGACATTCTTCCCACTGATCACCAATGTAAGGAACATTCTTTCCACTGATCACCAATGTAAGGGACATTCTTCTCGCTGACCACCAATGTAAGGGACATTCTTCCCGCTGACCACCAATGTAAGGGACATTCTTCCCGCTGACCATAATGTATCATGAGTTTTAGATATAGACATTTTTAGCAGGGGTTCCCTGAGACCGGAAAGTTACTGTATTTTTCGCTCCATAAGACGCACCTAGATTTTAGAGGAGGAAAACAGGAAAAAAAATATTCTGAACCAATGGACTTCAGACGTAGTACAAGAGATGACCAGAGACTGCGGACACAGTACAGGAGATGACCAGAGACTGCGGACACAGTACAGGAGATGACCAGAGACTGCAGACACAGTGCAGGGATGACCAGAGACTGCGGACACAGTACAGGAGATGACCAGAGACTGCGGACGTAGTACAGGAGATGACCAGAGACTGCGGACATAGTAGTACAGGAGATGACCAGAGACTGCGGACGTAGTACAGGAGATGACCAGAGACTGCGGACACAGTACAGGAGATGACCAGAGACTGCGGACACAGTACAGGAGATGACCAGAGACTGCGGACACAGTACAGGAGATGACCAGAGACTGCGGACACAGTACAGGAGATGACCAGAGACTGCGGACACAGTACAGGAGATGACCAGAGACTGCGGACACAGTACAGGAGATGACCAGAGACTGCGGACATAGTACAGGAGATGACCAGAGACTGCGGACACAGTACAGGAGATGACCAGAGACTGCGGACATAGTACAGGAGATGACCAGAGACTGCGGACATAGTACAGGAGATGACCAGAGACTGCGGACATAGTACAGGAGATGACCAGAGACTGCGGACACAGTACAGGAGATGACCAGAGACTGCGGACACAGTACAGGTGATGACCAGAGACTGCGGACACAGTACAGGAGATGACCAGAGACTGCGGACACAGTACATTAGATGACCAGAGACTGCAGACACAGTACAGGGGACGACCAGAGACTGCGGACACAGTACAGGAGATGACCAGAGACTGCGGACACAGTACAGGTGATGACCAGAGACTGCGGACACAGTACAGGTGATGACCAGAGACTGCGGACACAGTACAGGAGATGACCAGAGACTGCGGACACAGTACAGGGGACGACCAGAGACTGCGGACACAGTACAGGAGATGACCAGAGACTGCGGACACAGTACAGGGGACGACCAGAGACTGCGGACACAGTACAGGAGATGACCAGAGACTGCGGACACAGTACAGGAGATGACCAGAGACTGCGGACACAGTACAGGAGATGACCAGAGACTGCGGACACAGTACAGGAGATGACCAGAGACTGCGGACACAGTACTGGAGATGACCAGAGACTGCAGACACAGTACAGGAGATGACCAGAGACTGCGGACACAGTACAGGAGATGACCAGAGACTGCAGATCTTTGGGGAACGGGATTCACAAAGCTCAGCGCTTCTCGCACATGCGCAGTGGGCACCCGGCTGTGAAGCCGCAAGCTGTCACAGGCGGGTGCCCATGCCGGCACCGGGGAGAGGAGACTGAGGACACCGCTGGACCAAGGAACAAGTAGGACCACTGGAGGTCTGCAGAGAAGAGACGAGCGGCCTGCCTGGTATTCTAACATGGGGGGAATGCCGGGCCGGCAGCTCCATATTCGCTCCACAAGACACTCAGATATTTTCCCCCATTTTTACACGGTATTGAAATACGGTATTTCAAGGGTTCCTCTGTGTTGAAAAAGATTGACAAAGGCTGGTCTATGGGGCCTGTTCACACCTATGCAATGGTGCTGGTGCTTCTTGTGGCATGACATAATGGGGGGGATTTACTAAAACCAGAGCACTCAGAATCTGGTGCAGCTGTTCATGGGAGCCAATCAGCTTCTAACTTCAGCTTGTTCATTTGAAGAGCAACTCCACTTCTGTTGAGAAAATCATTCCCCTCTGGGTGATCAATGTACATTGCAGGGGTTTTAAAAAACTTTGTGGCAGATTCCTACCTTTGATTATTCTGAAGAAATAGCTGTTTGTTTCCCTGTGTCCATCTGCTGAGTGAATCTGTATGGGAGCAATTTAATCATTATTTATCAGTAGGGCTCTAATGAGGAAAACTACAGGGTCTGCATCTCCAATTTCCCTTTGGGAGTATCTCCCCCAAAAAAATGACATTTTTGTTGCAGGGGATGCTCAAAATCTGACTTGTATGTTAGTGCGGACTTCTGGGAAAATCAGCGAGCCAATCACACAAGCAGGAAATGACATATCGGGGGGGGGGGGGCATTCTGTACACCATCTGTGTACAGAACACCTCCAGGTAGCTTTAATGCATTTTTACAGAAAATTACAGATCTGCAGATTGGAAAGGAACGGGAATTTTTAATAACATCCAATTACAATATGACTTGTATTGCAGTTGTATATGCTAGATTATTATTTCATATTTGCCTTTTTTTCCCACAAAAGTGGAGTTACCCTTTAAGCTTTGAGATATTAACCTGGAAGCTGATTGGCTTCCCTGCAGAGACCGCACCAGACTGTGCACTCTCCAGTTTTAGTAAATCTCCTTCAAATGTGTTTTTGCCACCAGAGGCTTCAATAGAGTGCATTAAAAACACATGAAAATGCATTATTATTATTATTATTATACAGTATTTATATAGCGGAAAAAGGTTTGCTCAGCGCTGTACATTATAGTGGGGGACAGAACATGAGACAATCCAGTAACAATACAAAACACGAGGGGTTCGAGGGCCCTGCTCCTTGGAGCTTACAATCTAGGAGGGAGGGGATAGTGGTACAGGAGGAAGTGGCTGTGGTGGATGGAGTGGTAGGAGGAGTGGAGGAGATCGGCTGTTCGGTGAGGGCGGGGTAGGCTTCCCTGAAGAGGTGGGTTTTCAGGGTGCGCCTGAAGGTGAGGAGGGTAGGTGATAATCTGATGGATTGGGGTAGTGAGTTCCAGAGGATGGGGGAAGACCTGGAGAAGTCCTGCAGTCGGGCGTGGGAGGTGGAGACCAGGGAGCTAGAAAGTAGGAGGTCTTGTGAGGAGCGAAGAGTACGGGTAGGGTGGTATTTGGGTATCAGGTCGGTGAGGTAGTTTGGGGCAGCGTTATGAATGGCTTTGTATGTCAGTGTTAGTATGAATTTAATGTGTTGGGCAATCGGAAGCCAGTGGAGGGAATGACAGAGGGGGGTGGAGGCCAGTGGAGGGAATGACAGAGGGGGGTGGAGGCCAGTGGAGGGAATGACAGAGGGGGGTGGCAGAAGCGGAGCGGTTGGTGAGGTGGATGAGTCTGGCCGCTGAGTTCAGGATAGACTGAAGCGGGGATAGTCTGTGATGAGGTCGGCCGGTGAGGAGGGAGTTGCAGTAGTCCAGGCGTGAGATAATAAGGGAGTGAATGAGTAGTTTAGTGGTGTCTGGGGTAAGGAACGAAAGTATTTTGGAGATGTTGCGGAGGTGGAGCCGGCATAAAATAAAATTTAAAACATAAAAAACCCACAAAGCAGCATGAAAATGCCGACTCCCGAGTGTGAACGTAGCCTTAAGCTGGCCACAGACTAGTAGTTTTTGTAACA